AGATGCCCCCCACACAGCACCCCATTGCAGTATCCCCAAAGCTGCAACACCCTCCAGCACCTCCTGCTGTCCCAGCCCCCCCAGTGGGTATCACCCCACCTTGGAGCACCACAAGCCCCAGAGCCCCCCAGGCCCGCACGGCTCCCTGCGCATCCCCTAATCCTAATTGCAAGAATCCATATGCACCCCATGGCTTGTCCTGCTGACACCCCCAAATCCCCCCAGCTGCTGCCCACCCCAGGCAGCGAGAGCCGAGGCTCCTGCCTGTTGGCAGTAGAGGTTGAGGGGGGGCAGGAGCCCGGACACCTGGGCTCCYTTTCCCAAGGAAGGCAGTGGGGGGCTGTGGAGGAGGCTGCAAGAGCRGCACCCAGCACCAATCCTGCTCTTGGCCCACATGTGCCCGGGCTGGTGAGGGCAGCGGTGGGCGGGGAGCAGACAGCATGGAGAGGCCTGGGAAAAACATCGTGCTCCTGGGGAAACTGAGGCACGGAGCCCCGCGCGGGGCCGCGGGCCCCGCTCGGCTCCTCGCRCCCTGCCGCCCCGGGGAGCCCCAGGTGGGACGGATGGAGGGATGGAGGGAGGGGTGGGCGGCGTGCGGGTGCAGGGAGGCGAGGGGAGGGGGGAGAGGCGCGGGGCTGCCAAAATCAACTCTCGGCGGTACAAACACCCGGCCAGCTGCACGGTGTAGCTAGGGAAACTCGGCACAGCTGGAGCACAACAGGCCCCTGCCTCCCCGCCACGCTCCTCCCGGGCCCCCGGTGTGTGGGTGACCGGCATGGCGCAAGGGCGCCGGTGCCCGCGGTGGCACCCACCATCCCATTGAGGGGACCCAGCTGCGCTTGGCACATCGGGTGGCCCCGGCATTGTTGTGGGCTCCCAGTCCCCTCCCCTTGCCRCTGTGCCCCGGCTCCATCGGTGCGGGCACTGCTCCGCAGGGAGCACACAGGCTCCGTGCTGGGACACCTAGGCTGCATCCCGGCCCTGGGAGCTCCCTTGGCACGAGGTGGGYGCAGGCAGCACCAGAGCAGCACCCAGCGTGTCCCCGTCACTTTGCAGGCACCCCCTGGGCCACGATGCCACCAGCGACACCCCCAGGACGGGGGGGGGGGGGGTGCAACCCCATCCCCATCCACGCAGAGACCTCCCTGGGGGCCGCCCCCTGCCCTCGGAGCTGGCACCGACCTGTCCCCTGCGCTGTCCCGCGGCGTCCCCGCCGGCGCCCGGGGCACGGCAGGGCGGCGGTGCCAGCGCGGCCGAGCGCGGCGCGGGGCCGCGGGCCCTGGGCAGGGCGGACGAGGCCGAGCGGCGGCCGGCGAGGCAGGCGGAGGCCGCCGGCGGTGCCAGAGCCGCGCAGGAATCCGCCGCTGGCTCCGCGCTCCGAGAGCTCGTCACAGTCTCCTGGCTCGGCCCCGGGCCGCCGGCATGCGGGGAAGCGAGCGCCGGAGGGGGGGGAAGCGCCCTCCCCTTTCCCRGCGAGGAAGGAAAGCCGGGAAAGCCGCCGGCACGCGGGGAAACTGAGGCACGGGGGGCCGGGAGGGCCGCCTGGGCTGGATCAGGGAGGTATCTTGGCTCCGGCGCTCGGCGTTTCCACCCGGGGAGGGGAAAATTGCAGCTTAAACGCGGGCACACGGGGAGAGAGGAAACGGAGGTGGGCGGGGGGGAAGCCTGGAAATCTGCCCCAGCTGGGCCTGGGCATCCCTTAGTCCCAGCTGCAGAAATGCCGGAGCAGCGGGGATGGGGATGCTGCTTATGGGGTCCCCCTGGCTTTATGGGGTGCCCCCGGGTGCCCCGGCTCCCTTCGGGAGCCGGGGCACCCGGGGGCACCCCATAAAGCAGCCAAAGCAGCATCCGTGTTGGCACTGAAGCGTCTCCAGAGCCGGGGCTGGCACTGTGGCCTCCCTGCCAGCTGTGGGCAGCTGGATCCGCTCGGTGACAGAGCCGGCCAGTCCCGGCCAGCGCACCCGGCTCCCCGCCTGGCACCGTGTCCCTCTGCCGCTACCTGCAGCAGGTGCCCGGAGGCGCCGGCRCAGCGGGATGTGCGGCTCTCCAAAGCCCTGGGTGCCACAAATCCATGGGGTCCTGGTCCTGKGGAGCCGGAGGGGGGGTGTCTCTGGGGTGGCCCCGGCCCCCCGCAGCGCTGGCCCCGCTGCCAGTGGCCCCACGCAGCTCCCTATTGTCCCCATGAGCCGCTTGCTGCGCTGGCGCTTGGAGCGTCGGCCGGGCCGGGGCGGCAGGAAGGAACCTCTGCTCCCTTGGGATGGGTGGAAGCGCATGCCTGGGATCCCCCTCATCCTCCCGGCCGGGCACTGCCATCCCGGCCCCCTTCCCCTTGGGAAATGGAAGGGAGCGGGAGCCCCCGGCCGCCCCGGCGCTTTGTGCCGAGCGCCGGATCCCCCCTCCGGCCTCGCGCACACGCGGCGGGGCGGGAAGAAGGGGGGGGAACCGCTGTCGTAATGGGTGGAAATATCTCATAATTCACGTTGGACGCGGGGATTACAGCCGTTCCGGCTGTATTTGCACAACTGGAAGGCGGCTCGCGGGGCCGAGGGGGGCCGGGGGAGCAGGGGGCTGCGGGGGGCAGCAGGTACAGGCGGGAGATGCAGCCGGGCCGGGGGTGATGGAGGTTTGGAGGTGGGGGGGTGGGAAAGGGGCTGCTTTTCGTCTCCGAACACATGGAGTTTATTAGAGCCGCGGCGTTCCCGGCGTGGCGAAGGCGCCGGGGGCGCTCAGCCCTTTCTTACCGCCCCGCGGCCCCCGCTGCTTGTGGGGCGCCCCCCCGTGTAGCCCCACTCGCCCCCCGAGCAGCTTCAGCCCGTCGCCCCGGGGCCCCGTGCCCGTGGGCAGCACCCCCAGCAGGGCACGGTGGCCCCCGCGCCCCCCGATTAGCCCCCCCAGGCTCCCAGAGGAAGGGGGCGCAGGGGAGCGGGGCGGGGGGCGTGTTTGGCATGGGGATTAGCGAGCTCCCAGAGCGATGGTGGTCTCCCTCCCTCCCCACCGGACATGCAGGCAAATATTTGTGCCCAGACTTCGCAGGACGGCGAGAAGGAATTTCATTCTTGCGCCCACCTGCGGCTTGGCCGCCTGGCATTAACCCTTTCGCCACCCCGCGCGCACCAGTGCGCTGGGACAGGGGCTCGGTGCCCCTTCCCGGACCCCTTCCCGCTGCCCCCCATGGGAGTGACCCAGTGTGCGGGACACAGGGGATCCCTGGGGACAGCGTGGCCCCTCTCGGGGACCTGGGCACGTGTCCGTGGGCTCGGGATGGGGCGGACGAGCTGGGCTGGAGCCGGCAGGGGCGGCGTGGGCACCGGCCGCTGCGGGAACCCCTTGTCCCCAGAGCACCGGGGCGGACGGCGCCCGGCACAGCCCGTTCCCATGGCAGGGGCCGGCCCGGCGGGGKGGCCCGGGCAGAGCTGTTTGCCCACGGATGTTTATTGGCAATTTGCACGTGTGAAGTGCAGGGGGCTCCGGGCGGCACCCCGGGGCCCGGCCGCGCTGGGCCCGGCCAGCTGGGCGCTGAGCAAACGGGGCTGTTTGCTCGCGCGGGATTAGCCGCTCTTTGTTCCTTTGACTTTCTCCTGCCTTCGTGTGGGGCACTTTTATGGGGGCTTCAAAGCGTGTGGGGGCTTCCCACAGCCCCCCCCCCCACATTGCGCCAACATGCTGGGGTGCCGCCGAGCACACGTGGGTGGCCGTGGGGACGTGGCAGTGCCACCTGCCCGTGCCCCCCCCGCCTGGCACCTCCGGCCGCCCGCGGCACCTCGGCCAAGTGGGTGCGAACGGCCGCCCCCCCGGCGGGATTCCTGGCACTTTGCACCCTCTAAGGCCGGGTGGGAAAGTTGGCACCAGGGGGCCGGCCAGGTGCGCAGCCCTGTGCCCCCCCTCGCTTCCTGCCCCCCCTCTCAGCGCCTGGGCCCTGCAGGGGCAGCAGGAAGGGCCAGAGCAGCCCGTTCCCCTCGGGGGTACCCCCATGCTCCCCCAGCATCCCTCCTGTGCCCCACACTTGGGCCCTATGTGTCCCAGGGGCTGCGCAGGGCCGGGCTTGCCCCTGCCCTGCCTTCGTCCCCTCTGTGCCCCTGGCCGAGACACTTGTGGCACTGCCCTTTGTGGGGGAGACACCAGGCTGCACGGGCAGAGCCTCTCGCTGACTGCCCGGCTCCCCTGAGCCTGGACAGGGAGCTGTGTGGGGCAAAAAGGCTGTTTGGGGACCCTCCACGAGCCTCGGGCTCCGTCGGGCAGCTCACCAGGCACCAGTGGCACCCCAGGAGATTTGTCCGCCTCTGGACGAAGGCCGGCGCCRAGCTGGCACCGGAGCCGCAGGCACCAAGCTGCGGGTGCTGCAATTCCACAGCCGGGCACCATGGAAGGATCCCCCATGGGAGTGGGAAGCGGCGCAGCCTTGAGCGCACGCGTGGCGGCCAAGCAAGGAGCAGTGCTGGCACCGAGGGACTCAGGGTGCCGGCGCGGCTGCGCCGTGTCACGTCCGCAGAGACGAGGCCCCGCGGTGCTTGACCCTGCTGCTGGCCGCCCCGCGGCGCCCGCCGTGCACGGCCAGCACCGGGCGGCCTGCGGGGCGCCGCCGGAGCCCGTCCCGTCCCGCGGCGCCGGGCCGGGCTGCAAGGTGGGCTGGGGGCCGCGCGGACGGGGCGGGCGCCGCGCGCCCCTGTTTACTCTGCCTCTTGTCACCCGGCCAGGCGCTGCCGGGAAGCGCTGCGCGGCCCCGCGGGACCGGGCCAGGAGCGCGCGGGAGCCGCGGGGCGACAGGGCGGCCGCGGGCGGAGGCCCCATGGCTGCAGGGGGGGCTGCTAGCCCCGAGGAGGAAGGGGGTCACTCAGCAGCCCCCTGCCCACAGACAGCTGCACCCGCTGCACCCGCAGCCCTGGGGTCACCTACCTGCGGGCTCCTGCCCCTCTCCCCCTTCACGGGGCTCCGTGCGCCGCAGCCCTCCAGGTGCTGCGGTCCCGAGCGAGGGTGGCAGCGCTGGCGGCAGGCACGGGCGGAGGTTGTTGAGGACAGGACCAACCCGCAGGTGACGGGAGCTGGCCCCTGTGCGCCCTCCTGGACATGTGGACACAGGCGGGTGCTGGTCCCCCAGGCCCCCAAGCGCCCCTCTCTTTGCAGGTACCAGCGGCGCCCTCCTGCCCAAGGTGGGTGCCGGTGCCAGGGTGGCCGCGCGGGCGGTGGGCGCAGGTGACAGCGGCCACCGTGGCGGAGCCCTGGCCCCGGGGAGGAAGCGGCCGGAGGCAGGAAGCCGGCCCGGGGGCCCCGCGGCGCTTTCCCTCGAAGGTCAGCAGCGGCACAACAGGAAGCGGCGCGGCCTCGGCGGGGCCGGAGCGCCGTGACGCCCGGGGGGCCC